ATTAAATTTATTGCTAATGCAATTATATGGCACATTGACTTCTGAGGAAATTTTAGATGGCACTCGTCATCAAAAAGGTTGCCTACCCCTGTTATATCCAAAGCCGACCTTTTGTACGCTGCTGTTTTTGGTGATGATCATCATGTTATGGTACCTGGCCTTAGGAAACATCAAACAGGTGTTTGTGCCATCCGGGCGGTGGGAGAGGGACTGTGCTCGTAGTAAATAATCATTTACCCAGCTTGGTTTCTCTCTCACATGAATGAGCTTCACAGTCCATCGCCACATGGGAATTCCTACAAAGCTTAAAATAAAAGGCAACTCAGAAAGGTTCAGAGCGCCTGGTGTTCTGCGCTGATCCCTACAACATTAACATGCTGTCATAATGAACTACAAAACTCTTCTGACTGTTATAATTTGCTCCTGGATGGCTGTTATCAGCTGAGAGATGAGAGCAAGCGCTGTGTATGTGTGCCGGATTTGCCATCACTCTGGCTGCAATTTGTACCTGAAGCAGAAATAACTTGAACCGACTTAAATGACTGATGTGATGCAGTGTGAACTGGAGCAAAGAAAGAGGAAAGTTTGCAGTCATTCGCCGGGTGGTTTAGGTGTTTTTCTGCGGAGGTGGAGACGATGGGAGTGTTCTCTTTGAGGACTCACTTCTGAGACCTCGGGCTGGTGCGATACACCGCTTCTTCCCTCTGCTGTGGCAAGTGTGTGTTTACTGGCACGCTGCTGTGTCCGTGTCAGAGAGTGCAGAAAAACATTTTATATTATCAGAGATGTCAACAATCCTGTTTTCAAAGGTTGTTTTGGGGGGGAAATGGGCAGTGGTCTCTGGGTGGAACTGAGGTGAGACAAGAAGTAAAATCAACTGAAACACCTACAGATCAAATAAACAGGCCACACGTCATTTTAAAGTGGCCCTAAGGTGCTTTTTTCCCCCTTTATTTTCTGACTTATACACTCACAGGACACCTGCTCAACTTCTTACTAATCCAAATATCTCATCAACCATACACATGAAAGCAGCTCAGTGCACTTGGGCATGTAGTTGTGGTCTTAGTTTTCCACATTCAGTGAGCTTGTTCTCACTGCATACCTTGCTTTTTGATTTACTGATCACAGAGGCAAGGCCAGAAACCTTCACAAATTTTTCGCGATCCAAACAGTTTCTTTAGCTCTAGAAATACTTGTAATTTTCCATCGATTTTTCACACTTCCTGTGTGTAATGGCAACATCACCAGATAAAGAGTAGCAGTGTATTTTGCAAAGGCATCCAATAAACCAAATTAGACCATTTGGTGGGCAGGTTCTGGCCTTGGTCCACATCTTTGATGGCTGATCTTTAAACTTGCAGCTTCAGAGAGTTTTTTTTCTACTTTTCGTTATTTATGATTTCAAAGTTAGGGGATGTACTTTATATGATTCATGTGATGACCGTCTTATTGGAGTTATTTGCTGGTTTATGTATGTAGTTTTTTTGTGCTGGTTAAAAATAACTGCAAGCTGGTGAGACTTTGACGATATGTATCTGCTGTGTCCTTTAAAGTAATCGCTCACTTTATCTTCAATCCAGGTTCCTTATTTATATGAGAGTTGAGTGATGAAGAAGATCTTTTTCGTGTCGCTGTCATGAAAGGGGAAATATACAACAATCAAAATCTAAAGGAAAACAAACCCAAAAAAATGTCCCACATTAGAATCAGCAGATTGTTTTAAACAGTGGCATCGGTCCAGACTTTCACCATCTGTCCATCCCTGCATGCAGTTTAGCTTCTGATTTTCTGCGTCCTGATGTTTTGAACTGAATGTGTAGCTTCTGATCAGGTCTAATTTCCTCCATTAGTGATCAAGGTTCACACATGAGAAAGGTTGTTTAGTCTCTGCTGCTCGCCGTCTTCCTTCACTCAGGCTGTCGTGCTCTGACCCCGCTGTGAGTCATCTTGCATTTCTCGATGCTGGCAGGAGTGCTGGCTGTTCACTCTGATCCATGCTGTAGTGGTGCGACGCTGCCTTTGGCTTTCTGAAGGAGGGGTGGGGGGGAACTGGAGCACAGCGCTGAGCCATAGGCAGAAATACCAGGCCTAACTAGGACATGTCAAAAAACAGGGCTAGTGGCGGGGTGTCTCTCTCGCAGAGAACTTCCTGAAGGGATGACAGGAAGTATCTTGCCGTTGATGAGTTCCGAATTTCTTCTTCTGCTCCACTTATTGTTGATAATTTTGCACCTTGTACCTTTTAACAAATAACACAGATACTTTTTAGAATTATTGAGCTTTAAAGTTTTGCAGGTACACTGGTTCTGTTTGTGCTGCACTTCAACAGTGACTCATTCTCCCAGTTTTTTCTATGGTATGACCCCTTATTACAAAGCAAAGCCTAGTCATCGAGCGTTTGATTTGCCCATCGCACTAGAGCTGCAGATAATGATTCATTTACAATTTTTCTATGGACCTTCTCTGCTTTTCTTTATTTTCTGTCATATATATGCTGTTAAAATGGAGACTGTTCATATAAAGCATGGCCAGAGTTTGAATAATAAGGTCAGTGTCTGTACAAGTAATCACTGTGATCTAAAAGCTCAGATTTTGCGCAGCTCTAAATGCTTTTTCTGACATCACAGAAAGCTGATATGCCCAATATCCTCCTGAGAACCGAGGAAACAAGTATTTTTCAGTTAAATTTTTTGTGATGTCTTGCCTATTTGCAGCTAAAAGAGGCCACCCAAACACATGAGATGTCCTTGGCCAGGATGTCTTCTTTTGACTTCAACGGTGCTTAATAGGGTAGCTCAAATAAGTCAAAAGATACAGACCAAAACCAAATGTCCATTAAGAGGACATAAATGTATAGGCTGGTTCTCATGAGGATATGGTCATCTCAAAATAGACAAATGTCTCGCTTATTAATCACTCAAGTAAGTACTCTTGTATATGAATCCTGTTTATTGATTTCATTTGCTTACATTTCAACTAGGAAACTTGGTGTAATTTGAGATTAGATACATATAATCAGATTAAATAACATTGTAACCTCTCAGATCCACATCGTGACCCTTTCCGGATGTCCTGAGCCCCATGTGAGCCTTTTTGCAACTTGTTTTTCTGTTTTCGGGTGCCAACAAGCTCAGTTAGCACGGTGCAGACTATCATAGACCGAATGGCCCATTTTCCAATCTGGCCTCTACAACATCTCCCTGCACACTCTCAACCCGCTACACTAAGTGCTGCTCCAAACCAACAAATCTTCCCCTTTAAAGTAGGTTACAGAGCCCTCCTACCTTGAGTCTGCGCTGATGCAGGTGTACTAACCTCAATTTGTGAAGGTGTAGGACCTTTTTTATGTCCCATATGCAGGAAACCGCATGCACCGGTGAAGGAGATCTTTGTGATTATACCAGGACTGTTAGAGTAATGAAGAGAATTGATGGGTTTGGACACAGTTTTTGAAACATGCTTCACACATTATTTAGTTTTTTAATGTTTTTGTTATCAATTCTGATATTAAAGACCAAAATGAGGATAAAAATTAAGGCAAATGGTAGCATTTAAGGAATTGTTGGTGATAATGGAGCAAATTTCCATTAATGATTGACAAACTCTTTATACCTTTATACTGGCATCATGATCTGATAGCGGTATAAATCTCTGAAGATGCTGATTACCAGTTCCTGTTTCTGTCTGAGAAAGATGAGGGTGTCTTAAAGCTTGCATGCAACTTCATAAGTTTTCAGATGGGCTGTTTGTAGAAATAACTATCAGATAATATGCATTAAAGAACATTGAAGGCAAAGGTTATCACAAAGAAAGAAACTGGCCTCTATCAAGCTATACCAATGTTCATTTAATTGGTTGAGGTGTGTATTTTAATATGAGGGTCTATGGCAGACTTGGGCAATTAATTTTCCCAAGGGGGCACATGAGGAATGGACTGTTGTGGAGTCCTGGTCCACAACAGTTCAGTTTTATCAAGTAAGAGATATCTAGCTTAAAGTCAGAGTCAATGTCAGACAGGACAGGGTATCTGGATTTGTTAAACTTCATCACTGAGAATGTTGGTTCACATATGATGGTAGATCCAAAGAGAACATCTTCTAATCTTTAGCACTGGCATACAAAACAGCTCCCGGTGTATAAGAATATAAATGCTTATTTCACTTCTGGGTTCTTTTTAGTCACTTGATCTTGTATCTTTTTCAAAAGTCCACCATTCTTCCGTGTCAGATTTGGACAAAGTCCAGTTTTTCCCATTTCAGCTCAAGCCTTTCCAAGCAAGCACTTACCTCCATGAACAAATCATTCCCTGTCGTAGTCCCTTTCACTGAGTGCATTGCTGCCAGCTCCTCCAAAATCTCCAACTCTGTCTTCATCCCGCTTACAAAGATGAGTAACTGGGCAGATATCACAACTCTCATCCAGAGCCGAGTAGCCATCGGCTCATTGTCAAACACTTCTTTTTTTCTCAGGGCATATCAGCTCAGGAAAGTTGACCAAACACTCTAATAAACTCCCCAGCAGAGATTGGCTCACTTACTTTGGTTTATAATTTTTGTGGGAAATAACAAAGCTGGTCTTGACTGCTCCATCCTTGGATGTGTAAAAAGTCATGTCGATTTTGCAGCTTTCCTCGCAAACGTTCAGATGTCCGTTCTCACTTTTTTCCAGCTTCAAAGTTGCTGCTTGAAACACACAGTTTCAGGTTCAAAGCAATATCCCCATCCTGCATGCTAACGTGAATGCTACTGATATTTAATTAGGCATGCTTTTTGTAGATTTGGACTTGAACATCTGTTTGTGTTGCTGATTAAATAATTTATATACTTTCAGCCACAGTCCCCACAGCTGAATGCAAAAATGTGTTATTCTCACTACTGAACGCAGTAGTAAAGGCAGCAGCAGTAACACTAATATTCATGATTTGAGTCAGCCTCACTGTTGTGTTTTTCCACTGTCGTGATGCAATGACAGGATTGATTTCTGTGTTTTTGCTGCAGGACACCAATGAAATTGTGGCCATTAAGAAATTCAAGGACAGCGAAGGTAAGAGGGCTCTTCTCTCCCGATGGGCAGGCCTCATCAGAGAGCACTTATGATTTCTATTGTAATGCAGGCTGTCCTCGTCCTTTATTTCTACTGGCCTGCTGCATCCCATATCTATCACAACATGGCAGCTCAGTGTGATCCTCATTTCCTGTCTGTCTCACCTCCACGCAGAAAATGAAGAGGTCAAAGAAACGACCCTGCGGGAGCTCAAAATGCTCCGCACGCTCAAGCAGGAGAATATTGTTGAGCTGAAAGAAGCCTTCCGCCGAAGAGGGAAGCTGTACCTTGTTTTCGAATATGTGGAGAAGGTAGGTTTCCTCCACAGGCCGATACCTGCGCTGACTCTGGTGTTACTCTCACCCGTCGCCTGTAGCAGAACAAGTTCAGCACACTCTTCTCTTCTTCTGGCTTCACTTACCGTAACATCAACAGAACGATGAATGAAGGTGGTTATCAGCTCAATAATTCAATCCAGGGTTTTCCCAACCTCGCTGTGAAAGAGATAACATTGGCAGCATATGACCAATGACAAACACAGGGAGGTATACTGGCAACAGAGCAGGATATTTTCCAAAATAACAGCAAACTATAATATTTGAAAAAATACAAAGAGGTTAAACACATAATAGAGGCTGAAAGCAACAGAGCTGCAGCAGCCAAAGCAGCAGCGGGCGAGTTTGTGTGATAGGGAAAGGCTGTAGAGCACTGTGGTATTAAAACACCTGGTCTGAATGTGGAGGACTAGTAAAGGTACAAGTAAAGAACAACCAGAAGAAACATCATTCAAACCTGTAAGTTGCTCAAAATCCAAATTTCAAGTTGGCCAGCAAATATGAGGCTTAGCTTATCACTAAATTAAGTTCTATTCAACATTATAATTGTTTAAAATTGCTCACAAAATCAGGTAAAAAGCAGAAAAAAGTCCTCGTCTTCAAAATAATACTTTAGACCAGAGCTATTAAACGCATTATAGCTTCAGATATGGCAGCCCGAAGCTGTCAATGCATTGTTCTCACTTAATGAACCTTCTATTCACAAAATAGATAATTAAAAAATAGGTATTGTTTCTCAAATATGAACCATTTTTCTCCAACAGAAAAAAAAACAGACTTTTGTCACACTTTAAAAAGCATGTCGATCTCTTACCTCAAATACAACCTGCTCCAGAGGTGGTCAGGTCTGGACGGGTCCTCCCGATGCTGAAAACTCAGGGTTAAACCTAGAATTCGTTCGCTAAACCCCCAAATCCTTCATGATAATAAAGAGCTCAGCTTTGATTTCTTCAACTGTGTCTTTTTTCCCTCTCTCTTTTAGAATATGCTCGAACTGCTCGAGGAGTTACCAAACGGTGTGCCGAGTGAAAAAGCGCGCAGCTACATCTTCCAGCTAATCAAAGCAATTCACTGGTGCCATAAGCATGACATTGTTCACCGAGGTAAGGCGTTTTTCTTAACCTGAACGTAGCGTACAGAGTGTTAGTGCGATAGAGGAGAGGCCCCCAGAGCAGGAAGACAAATGCAGCATTATTTTGCTTACACTGGAGAAAAAACATGGTCATTCCATATAAAATCCACCAAACTGGAGAAAATTTCCCACACGAGCCCTTCAGAATCACCTGATTTCCATAGTGTAGTGATTTACATGTGTGTCTAACAAGCAAAAGGTCCCTGGTTTGAGCCCATGAGAAGACACAAATACCTTTGGGGTTGCATCTGGTGTAAAAATCTGTGGCAACCCCTTGTGAATAGGGTATGCTGATAGTGCTCTTTATGTGAGACTGCACAGCACTTTTATTACTTGTCCTCCTTTCCCACATCTTGAGACAGTATCCCAAATTTTGACTGAAAATGTGGTGTGAAGTGATACAATATTTCTGTCTCATAATTGGTTAAAAATGGCTAAAATTGTAAGATATGGTGCAAAAAAACATGTATGAGAGTATGGATGCATCTTTACTGAAACCCAAAGACGGCTACAGATCTTTTATTAGCAAGAGAGTTGGAAATGTTGCATTTAAATGTAATATATTTGACTACCTCTCAGTATTATTAACACGTCTCACTTTGTCCCACGTTCAGTTTGTTGTGATATGGTCACCTTACTCATTAAGAAGAGAGCCGCCAAAAGGAGCTTTGATGCATCATGTAAAATTTTACCTTCTTACTATGAATATTTTCCAAGTGAATAAAGCTGCATCACAATTTGGTGTTTTTTAATTTGTTCAGTCCTCCTATGTTTTTAAATACAGAAGACTGATATAAAATACATTTGAGAATTGTTAAAACTTTGAGCATCAATATTATGGGATACATCATAGTCTCTGTAACGTCTAAATATTTTTGGGTCCAGCTTCATGGTTCGTATCACTATGTGAGACAGGTGTTTGGTCAGAATAGGCTCACTTTCGATCTGTTTAGCTTCATAGTTTCATCTTTTTCTTTTGGCTGCTCCCTTTAGAGGTCACCACAGTGGATCATCTACCTCCATCTCGCCCTATCCCTAGCATCCTCCTCTGTCACACCAACCCTGTGCATATCCTCATCCATGAACTTCCTCTGAGTTTCCTCTTTTCCTCCTGTCTGGCAGCTCCATATTCAACATCCTTTGCCCATTGCATCCACTGTCCCTCCTCTGCACATGTTCAAACATGTTAAACTATAACTTTGTCTCAAACCCGCTCAGCCTGAGCTGTGCCTCTAATATACTCATTCCATACCTATCAATCCAGGTCAATCCCCATGATATCATAGCATCTTTAGCATTATATCTATCAGCATTATAACTAAGCGATGTACTGTTCACTAGAAGAGCTTTTGGTGAATCAGTGGCAGCAGAGCAGGAAACCAGATGGCCCATGTGAGCTTTTGGCACACTGAGAGCAACAGAGCAGGCATCCAAATGGCCTGTAGTATATCCAGGCACCCATATGACAATGTTATCGAGGGATTCAGTGTATGGGTTATAGTTTTTTTCCCCCCAATCTGTGCATTTTTGCTGATGAAATTCCATTTCTCTGAAGGGTAATCATTCAAATCGCTCTCTCAATGAAACAGATGAATGTGTGGTGGCAGAAACTGATGGAAGTGATGTAATAGCGATGATGATAATGATGCCCCTCTCCAGCTTACTCTCCATCTGTGTTCTTCCTCCTCAGACATAAAGCCAGAAAACCTTCTCATCAGCTCCGATGACGTCCTCAAGTTATGTGACTTCGGTGAGCCCCTCTATTCGATCCTCGCGCTGTAAGAAAGGTGCTCAAACAGTCAGAGCTGTGATGTAAAAGGAGTGTTTTCAACAGATACTATATTTGGCTGAAACCAGTGCTTCAGGAGTGCAGCAGGCAGGCTTCATCCGGTTATCTAAAGCGGTGTGTGTGCCTCCCCTCTCTGCGGCTGGTCATTCTTCTTTCATCTCAATTAATGAAATGTGTTGGGCAACAAGAGCATAATCATGCTTCAGCTCAGTCTGGCGGCGCCACAACAGAAGCAGGGGGAAACGTAAAACATGGCGTGGCCAGAATCACACAGGCAATCTGGTGTGAGAGACTGAAGACCTGCTGTTTGCTCTGTGTCAGCCAAAGGCATTGAGAGAAGAGACACGGGCCAAACAGACTCCGCTGTGAAGGTTTACGTTTCAGACCGAGTCTTGCCGCGCGCAGTCACTTTCACTGTGTGTTGTTTTGATCGGGGAGTTGGAGCTCTGAGAAACTGGAAATGAATGGCTGGGTTAATGTAGTAAATGTCCAATTGTGAGGGAAAGGTTTCTCCTTGTTTAAACTTGTTTAACATATATATATATAT